TTTGACTTTAGCAAAGCTTTTGACAAAGTGTCCCATGATATCCTGATTAACAAGCTAACTAGGTGTGGGCTGGATAGATCAAATGTCAGGTGGATACACAATTGGCTACAGAATTGTACTCAGAGGGTGATGATTAATGGGTCCTTCTCTAACTGGGAGGAGGTAAATAGTGTGCTACCCCGGGCTCAGTACTGGGCCCGGTGCGCTTCAATATTTTTATTAATGACTTGGATAAGAGTGTGCAGGGAATGCTTGTCAAATTTGCAAATGATGCCAAATTGGGCAGAATAGCTAATACTCTAGAAGAAAGAAACAAAATTCAAGATGACCTTGATAGGATGGAGCACTGGGCTGAAAGCAACAGAATGAACATCAACAGGAACAAATGCAAAGTACTGCACCTCAGAAAAAGAAACCAATTGGACAGTTACAAGATGGAGGATACCTGGCTCAGCAAAACTACGAGCAAGAAGGAAATTGTCGTAGTAAATACAGTATGAGTCAACAATGTGATATGGCTAAAAAAAAGGCAAATGCTCTTTTAGGCTGCATTAATAGAAGTATAGTTTCCAAATCCCATGAGGTGCTAGTCCCCCTCTATGCAGGGTTAAGTGTCACCTTGAGTATTGTGTCCAGTTCTTCAACACACACTTCAAGAAGGATGCTCACAAATTGGAACAAGTTCAGAGGAGAGTGACAAGGATGATGAGGGAGATGGAAACCAGGCCTTATGAGGAAAGGTTGAAAGAATTGGGCATGTTTAGCCTTGAGAAAAGAAGACTGAGGGGTGATATGATAGCGCTTTTCAAATCTTTGAAAGGTTGTCATACAGAGAAGGGGCAAGATCTGTTCTCAATCATCCCAGAGTGCAGGACACTCAATAATGGGCTCAAGTTAAAGGAAGCCAGATTTTAGTTGAATATCAGGAAAAACTTCCTGTTAGAGCAGTACAACAGTGGAACCAGTTACCTCGGGAGTTGGTGAGTGCTCCAACACTGGAGGTATTCAAGAAAAACTTAGATAATCACCTAGCAGGTATGCTTTGATTGTATTCTTGCATTGAGCAAGGGGTTGGATTTGAGGGTCTTGTAGGCCCCTTCCAAATCCACTTTTCTATGATTCTGTGATTCTATGATCTCCTACCCTTATCTCCTTTCATTTTGTCTAATTATTTGTATCTCTTGACCTTAAAGGTCCAATGAATGCTGTAGAATGCTCAAATTCCTGAAGGATGTCAAGTAGCCCGTATATTGTGTATTTCTTAATCTCATTTTACCAACTAAAGCAGCTTAGTTCAAGTTACCCTTTATTCATGTGTGCAATCTTCTGATCAGTATAAGATTCTCTAATTGGCTTCAGAAGTCTACTTCTATGGATGTTGTGGCCATGTGTGATGTGCAGGAGTAGGCAAGCCCAGTCAAATCCCACATAGCCATAAAGCCCTGTGGGTGATCTTTGCCTCATGAAAGTCTTTCAGCTCAGTGGTTTAGGCCTTTGGAGCCAGAGGTTGGGCCTCCTTGACAGGGTATGGACTTCATAACCTATAGGGCCCCTTCCAACATGTAGTTCTAAGATTATTGTTACCTTAGTATCTTATAAGTGGTTATGAGGGGGAAATGGAGGAATAAGCCCATATATGCTGCTACACTGTGTTAAAGAGAAAAAGAGGAAGAGGAGAAATTCCTGAACATTTATGCTATAAAGAGGAATATGTTTACTCCCTTTAGAAATTCAGCTCTCTCACTCTGTTTCTTATGTCAGCACAAAGACACCTGAAGATGGAACTGCTCCAGACAGCTCAGAAACATATAGTTGACATAATCTTATGCCCACTGAATTGGTCTGAACAAGGATCTTTAGAAACTAGTTAGCAAAAACATGTGCCCAGCTTCCCTTGTCAGACTTTGTTGTTTAGTCATTAAGTCGTATCCGACTCTTCGTGACCCCATGGACCAGAGCACGCCAAGACCTCCTGTCTTCCACTGCCTCCCGGAGGTGGGTCAAATTCATGTTGGTAGCTTCGATGACACTGTCCAACCATCTCGACCTCTGTTGTCCCCTTCTCTTCTTGCCCTCACACTTTCCCAACATCAGGGTCTTTTCCAGGGAGCCTTCTCTTCTCATGAGATGGCCAAAGTATTGGAGCCTCAGTTTCAGGATCTGTCCTTCCAGTGAGCACTCAGGGTTGATTTCCTTCAAAATGGATAGGTTTGTTCAATTTGCAATCCAGGGGACTCTGAAGAGTCTCCTCCAGCAGCACAATTCAAAAGCATCAATTCTTTGGTGGTCAGCCTTTTTTATGGTCCAGCTCCCATACATCACTACAGGAAAAACCATAGCTTTGACTATGCAGACCTTTGTCAGCAAGGTGATATCCCTTGTTAGACTACCTTGAGCTAAGTAAAAGTCCAATATCCCTTCTAAGCAGGGGCACCCAGTGTGATTTAGTGAACTGAGAAATGGACTAGGACTCAGGAAGACCTCAGTTCAATTGCCATGCTCTGCCATTGAAACTCACTTGGGGGAATGAGGTGGAACTGATAAAAACACTCCTTGAATACCTCACTTACCTTGAAAATCCTATTAGGGTTGCTATAAGTCAGTTCTGACTTGACAACACATAACAACAACCCTGCAAGTACCTTTAAACGTATTTCATTTTGCCTTGGAACACCATGTGATTCTTCTGTTTTCATAGCAATAAGCTAGTTCTTAATCTTACTGTTTTTTGGCCATTTGGAAATGTTTGGCTGTGGTAAACAGAGGTAACGACTATCAGTGTTCCACTGTAAAATGTCCAGCCACACAAATCCATGCTATTTCTTTGATTCTCATTCACCATTATGTTTCCTGAAATACTTCTGTGAAAAAATATATGAAACTCTTGCCTGAAAAATAGCACATCACCACGATGCTGGTAAATAGTTGAGGAATCACTGCATATACCTCTTATACTCTAGTAACTGATGTCTGAGGTAGTGTGCTTATATTCAAACCATTCAAAAATCCCTCAGCTATGTGGATTGATACCTGACAACCCAAAGAGAGTCTCCAATACTGGGGCCTGACAGATGCCTGATAACTGTCCTACTTTTTACAGTCATCACGGAGGAGCAAAAGCCAGCCTACTGAACCCTAGTGACTAAACACTGACAATTGATTTACACATTTGTTGAGCATCTCAGTAGGGCACAAGCTCACACATCATCATAAAGCAGAATACCAAATGCGCTTCCAGGTGCTCCCTGTAGATAGGCAACTTCAAAGTCCCTGATCAACATCTCTGCAGTTCCCTTGTGGTTCTTTATTTTTAAATCAAACTTGGACTGGACAGCCTTTCGAACAGATGACACCTTCAGAAGGAGGAATGACCCCTTGCAGCTCTTCAGTAGAGTCTGTTCTCTCTAAATGAGGACATGACCATTCTACCTCTCATGCTCAGCCACCACCTTTTCCACCAGATCTCTGGCTCTCAGTATGTCAGCACTCAGGCAATCATGCTGATTTTTAAGACTAAAGAGAATGAATAGCAGAATATTGTTTCACAATTAATTTGTTAGTCACAATCAACAAGGACAGAAGGATTTATTGCTAAGTCTACTTTTCTCTCTTGTAATAGTGAAGTCCAGAATTTGGAGAAGTCATTTAGATGAATGATATTTCCCAGAATCCCCCAGTCATTGTGACCACTAGCCACGCTGATTAGTGGATTCTGAGATGCATAGTCCAAAAATAATTACTCTCTAGGGTTGTCATACCAAAGAAGGAGTATCACTTAAAAAGGCTCGTCCCTTGCCTCATTAGCTGTACAGCACTGTTCTCTTGGGCTGGAATGAAGAACAATGCTAACTCACCAATGCTTTTTGCTCTCAGACTGAGTAACAGCCTTTTCCCAACATCTCCCTAGCTTTAGCTTGCAAAGAAATGTTGCTTACGCACTAGCCTGTTGTCAGAGAGGTTGGACTGAATCATTTACCATCTTTTTGAACTTGTTGCAAAACAATCTTTATAGTAGCTACTGTGCAGCATTGGTTGCTTGGGAGGCAGCAAAAGATGTATAACAGGCTTAGTGGGGGGGAAACACACACATGCACAAATCAAGAGAAGTTTTTAAGGTGCTTGAATGTGAAATTGTTTAACTGAAACAATATAAACAATGAAGCACTAAAACCAACTGCTCTTAGTAAAAACCAGCCATTGGAATGTAATCAATGTAAAACCAACTCTCTTCCTCTCTCCCAACTCTCTCCCAGGACCCGATTAATTGCTCCCCCTGTCAGTTGAATGTCTTTCTCAGATACATTGATGCAAGGCATACCTGAGGCTAAAAAATAACAGATCAGAATCCTGTTTCCCAACTTGTTCACATAAAGGCAATGGCTCCAGGGAAGACAACTACAGTATTTCCTGGACTTTCTGTCGTGTGCCCTGTCTTTACTTGCTTGTGCAAATGCGGATGTAATGGAACACATGCCTGGGTCCATGACAGGCAGCTTGAAAAATAGGAAGACTGCTTGATTAATGGCCTTCATGCATGTGTTTTTTTTCCCCAATAGGATTTTGTCCACAGAAGATCACCAGTGCATTAAGCCGTGTGTGTGTGTGTGTGTGGTCTTGATGGCCTTATAGACCCCTTCCAACTCAATTATTCTATGATTTTATTATTCCATGGTGGCAATTCTGATCTTGGCAGCAGTTTTTGACGGTTAGTCTCCCTCCCTCCCACTGTCCCCAAGGCTCCACCAAGGCAAGAGAGAGAGACCTGGGAAGCCTTGGAACCTGAAGGAGGTGGTTAGGAAGGGTTCATTTAATTCACTCAGCACTGGATAATGGCATCATCCAGATTCCACTGGAATAAATTTACACAAGAGGATTTTACCCAGTATCATCTGGCATAATGATTCTTAACATTTAATTGTTTTTTTATATATGTTCGCTTTAAAAGTTAATGAATTTGTGTAACAAATTATTTTTGCATCTCTGTTTTTATATCCCACAAGGACAATCCAGCAAAGTCTGCTGTTCTTACAGTTCTTGTTCTACACTGTGAGGCCATGGTGGAAGAGGAGATTAGAAGCCAGGTCAAAGCAGTATCTCGAACAGTTTTGGCAGTTTTGTCCAAATGCCATGGTCCTGTTCTGCTTTCGTAATCCTTTGCACGGAGGTGGGCATATCTCGTGGCAGGGTGAACGGTAGTAAATTGCTAGATGAATTTGTTAGTCACACAACCAGACCACTGACAGTGACATTTGGGCATGTGATTGGTTAGGAGAGGATTATGGAATGTTCAGCTCTCAAGAGGTAACTGAACTGCAACTTCCTTCAGCAGCCCAGGTCAGAACAGCCAATGCTAAAGGATGATGGGAGTTGGGCATTTGATTCCTCAACCTGGTGGGTTTGTTTATCCTGCATCTGGCTTCACCTGAGCTTTTATACGTGTGGCATCTATTTATAAGCTTCAACTTGCCACCATTTCATTTTGATGCTGGATACTGTAAACAATCAATCATTCTTTGGACCCCATCCCCAAATGTTCTAACCAAGAAAGTGTTGACAGACATGAACAAAGAGAAAAAGGGGGTGGATTGGGGGGGGAGCAACACATTATACAGTTGCAATTTGGATTAGCAAACACATCCACAAATTGTTATTTTTTAATCCACATAGTTCTAGTTTTGCTCGAAGCCTCGCTAATCCTTTAATGGGAAAAAAGGCTAACTTGAGGGAAAACAGCCTGTCTTCAGTTCACAGGAATGTGAAATATGGGGTTGGACAAGTGACAAGCCCTGAGAATTTGAGTTGGATTAAAGCATGTCTTCAGGACTAACTTTCAGCCATTCAGAGCTTCACAAATAAGTGGTACTAGCTGATGTGAAGAAGACAACAATGCCTTCAAAGACAAAAAAAAAAAAAAAGAGTCCCTAATGTCCTACCAAACTACTAAGGAATGGATAAACTGAATATCAGGCCTTAGCTGTACCAGATTCCTGAAGCTGCAGCTCTTCCCCCACTTGAATTTTTGTTTGGTGTTTGGCTTCCCCCCACCCATTTTTTATATATATAGGATTACAACTTGCTAGAATCCACCTCCTGGTGTCATGGAGTCCCTCCATCTGCTTTACATCACAAGGCCAGATCGTTAGTTCTTATGGACCTTCTCATTGAATGGGATCTCCCACTTCGGTAAGTCATAAATAAACCCTTAAAAGGCTTCCCATCTCAAGCAGGATTATACTTGGGTGGGAAAGAAAGTACAGGTTATGCAGTTAGTATGACAGTATTCTTGGTTTCTCACCCACCATGGATATTTCTGTGGGAGGCAGTAACCCAAGTTTTCATTGTGGAATCTGAAACCGGACATGTTGTAGTCTGTTTCTCTGGTTACTTAAGCAGACAGACAGAGGGCGTTTTGCTCAATGGCCTGTTATTAAACAGAAGGGGATAATGTTACCTCAGAGATCAGGTTATAAGCTTAGCACTTAATAGCCTGTCTAAGAAATGAGTGAATACCCTATATTACCATGAGTTGCTGGCTTGGTGGTTTGCATGCAGGTTAAAAGGATGAGGTTGCACTTTTCCCAGTCTTGAGTGGCATCGGGGTCGACTAGGGGACAGTTCCCCTGCAGATCCTGTTTCCTCATGTCTGTTATAATGTCTGTTATAAGGTCTGGGTAAATAGTTGTCTTATGGGTGATGGTGCAGCAGCTGCTTTCTGCAGAGCAATCTAAGATATTTAAGGAGCCCTCTGTGTACTAGCACAAAAAGAGGAAATGGTGGCACAATTGCTTGAGATCTCTATATTGGCTGAAGGACAGATGGAGACACAAGTCTTTCTTTTTAAACTTTACTTATTTTATTTCTATCCTACCTTCCTCCCAGCGAAGGGAATCAATGCATGAACTCAAAGTTCATGCATTGAAAAAATATATATTAATATTAAAATAGAATTAAACTTAAGCAATGTTAAAATATCACTAGTTAAACAAAGTAATCAGTTTGATTGACTAGGAGCACCTCTGTCTAGCCAGAATTATGGTAAGTTTCAATTTGTTTGCTCTCATCCGGTCCATTACAGATATCAAGCACCAGCTTATAGTCCAGACAGCTTCTTTGGAAGTAGAAGGGAAGGAGAGAGAAAGTTGGGTATCATCACCATACTGATGATACTAATTACCAAAACTCTCCTAGCAGTTTCATGTAGATGTTAAATAGTGCTCATCAGATCAGTTCACTGCTTTCATGTCTCCCAGAAAATAACAGAGTATTAAAATATCCTTCTGAATCAAGATTGGCATGAGGTGAACACCTCAGGCACAAAGCTTAGGAAATTACATTTTGACTCTACAGTACCCAGAGTCCTTCAGCCAGCATGACCAGTGTCTGGAGAATTATGAGAGCTGTTGTCCACAGAAAACCAAACCAGATTAAACAAAAAACCCAGTGATTCCAAGCTCCTGAAGCAGGTCCCCTATGAGAAGAGGTTATAATGTTTGGGTCTATTTGACTTAGGAAAAGACAAATAAATGGCAACATAATAAAATGCACACAATTCAGACATCAAACAGGGCTAGACACCACAACATATCCACTACCAGGGGCATTTTGAAAGCAAAAAGTTGCGAGCCACTGCCTTATTTTCTCTAACAATCCCTTTAATAAAGGGGTGGCCTATATTTCTTAGAAACATTATATTTGACTGCTGAAGACCCAGGCTGCAGGCCAAATGAACAAGACGACCAAAGAAGGATTGGGAATTTCAAATAGTCAGAGGACCAGGCTTGGCTCTTAGACTGAGTTACTTTGATTGCATTTTGGAGATTCTGGCATTCTGAGAACAAGGCCCACAATGCTATGCCATGGCATGGAATGCAATGGAACTGACAAAAATATTTGGTTTGGCCAATATATAATATGACTGTCTGTTTCCTATTACAAGAGAGGACAGAGATTCCCTTGGCCTGAAGCTCTGGATCCTGGAAAGAGGGGAATGATGATTATAAGGTTCTTGTGGTAATCGGACCATGGCCAAGATGCAAGACAATGGGCCCACATGGAGAAGATATAAAGCTGGATACTGTGCTTCCAATGGCTCTGTGGTCTGACAAGTCCCTAGAATCAAATCACTTGCCACAGGAAAAGTTTTTTTTCCCCTACCAGTAGAGGGGGGGAAAGGTGCAACATACTCTATCCCATCAACAAATATGTCAACACAGAATCAAGGGTTTGGTTAAAATGAACCGTGGAAGAGATAACAAGCAGCCTGGTGGCACCTTAATGACTAGCAAGTTTGAACTGGCATAAACTTTGCTCAACAGACCCTTGAAAGCTAATGCAAAATAAAACTTGTTTAAAATACCACAAGACTGTTGTTTTTGCTTGCAACAAACTAAAACAGCCACACTTCACTCACATACCTCATGTAAGAAATTTTGAATCCATCAGAGAATAGGAAGAGGAATAGAGGGTAGGTGCAGGTGAGTCCTTCTTTACTAGATGTCATCTCAAAGTTAAGAAGTAACTAACTGTAAACATCCAGTTATTTGCAGCTAATTTCTTTTTTTAAAAGTGTAACTAAATTACTATATTATTATTGTTGTTGTTGTTGTTAACAACTTTCCAGTCTTTGACTCTCTGCTCAGTCCTATCTTCACCTGTTTCTTCTTTACATATAAGCAATTTTTTTTCTGGTGTCTTATGTCATGTATGCTTAATTTTTTGCCCCAAGGTAATGATTGAAAGGGACATTGCCATAATTATTCTTTACTCAAACAATTTTACAGCAAATGGTTGTTGTGGGTTTTTCGGGCTCTTTGGCCATGTTCTGAAGGTTGTTCTTCCTAACGTTTCGCCAGTCTCTGTGGCCGGCATCTTCAGAGGACAACTTTTTACAGCGACTTAGGATTTTCAGTGCTGAGTCTTCCACTGACTATACATATAGCACTGGTTGTTCTTTGCTACTTCTTTTGATCATTCTTTTCCTCCCTAACCAAATAATTTTGTGTGGTTTTTAAACAACCTTCTTCCTGAGCTAGAGTTTGGTTTGTGGATGGCTCTGAATAGCTCAGAGTTTGCTCTGTTTTCCTTTTCTTCCCTCCCTGCCCCACCACTTTTTTAATTTTATTTTCTAGTGAGGTCCATACTTTAAGAGTTTCTATTTGAATTTTCATGGAATATTTAATATTTAATTCTTAACTAATATTCCATAACCTTTACTTCAGTATTTAGAAACTGTTCCAAACCAAAGTCACCTAGTGAGTTCCATGACAGAGTGCATCCAGGTGTCCTAGTCCAACAATATAACCACCACACAGGAATCATCATCAATCACCATCATCACAATAACTATGTTGCTATGCGTTGTCAAGTCACTTGAAACTTATGGCGACCCCATGAATTAGTGATCACCAAAAGATTCCATTAAAAGCCCAGCTCAAGTCTCACAAATGGTTGCTTTACTGAATCAATCTATATTTTATTTGGTCTCTCTCTTTTCCTGCTATATTAAACTCTTTCCAATGCTAGCAGCAACAACAACATCAACAACAATAACAACTATGTGCTGTCAAGTTGATTCTGACATTGCAGTTCTTTCCAGTGTTTTCAGGGTATATAGTAGTGAGAAATGGTTTACTGTTCCCTTTTTCCCAGGGTGTCCCGAGAGCACACAGATTGCCCAAGAATCCACAGCCATGTACCCAAGGAACTGAGCTATTCAGCCCATCCAATAATCATAATGCCTCCTTCTAATGCAGACCTGGGCAAAGTGCGGCCCGAGGGCCACATACGGCCCGCGAGCCGCTCCTGTCTGGCCCGCGAACAGTTTTGAACATCAAAACCATTTATAGCTTTTTGTCTAAAGTTGATCAGTTGCTTATCTTTGATGCTAGAAGCAACAACAACATCAACAACAACAATAACAACTGTGTGCTGTCAGGTTGATTCTGACATTGCAGTTCTTTCTAGTGTTTTCAGGGTATACAGTAGTGAGAAATGGTTTACTGTTCCCTTTTTCTCAGGGTGTCCCGAGAGCACGCAGATTGCCCAAGAATCCACAGGTTGTTTTTTCATGTGGACGACACAGTCGGAAATCAAATTCCAGACCTCCAGCTCCCCAGCCATGTACCCAAGGAACTGAGCTATTCAGCCCATCCAATAATCATAATGCCTCCTTCTAATGCAGACCTGGGCAAAGTGCGGCCCGAGGGCCACATACGGCCCGCGAGCCGCTCCTGTCTGGCCCGCGAACAGTTTTGAACATCAAAACCATTTATAGCTTTTTGTCTAAAGTTGATCAGTTGCTTATCTTTAACATACCGCAAAAAACTCTTTAGTATTTGTGAAGATTAAGTTTAAAATAAAAACAATCATAACATCACTGTTTCATTTTATTTTTAAGTAAAGTTGGTTCGGCCCCCAAACACAATTCAGATTTTTCATATGTCCCCCCTTATAGAAATTAATTGCCCAACCCTATTCTCATGTATTGCAACTGTGAACAGCTTTAGGTCATCTTTGGTCACACCCTTCTGCCCTCTGGGATAAATAGAAAACTTCATTTCAGGCCTCACATCTCTCAAATTAGGACTAGTACTATCATTACATTATGAGTTATTGTTATTCTCATTTACCTGCTGCTCAAGTAAAAACTCTCACAGGGTTGATTACAAAATATCTAATTAGCTCTGAAAACAGTGTTCTGTACAGAAATGAAAACTGACAAATACAATGTAATGAATAATGTAGTACCAGTGAAAGAAGACAGAACTATTAGTTAAAATTGTACGTACATTAAAAGAAATAAAATGCAGACTGGATTAAAGTTTTTTAAACCCACCAGAAGTTTGGCAAAAAAGGAGACAGAGTTTCTAATTAATATGTGAATGGAAAGGGGGGTACTTATTACGTCAGGAAGATGTAATTACCATGCCTGTTCCACCCAGGTGTGTGTTGCACAGCACACATGTTATGCTAAAACAGCAAGGGAGACATGCTGCTTCCCTAGTCTACATTTTTCTGTTACATCTGCAGCTCAAACACAGACAAACAGAAAATGTCTGGAAGGGTACTGGACTGTGTCATCAGCTCAGTAAATGGCAATTTCAAGGTCATTAAACCATTAAATGAGCTTTTTCCCACCACCTCTGGGAGAGCAGTCTTAATTCTGAGCTGACTTCTTTTTTGGAATGGAGCTCTAATGAACTTTTGATGATCTGGGACAGAGGCCGACAGCTGCCTTGACTGAATCAATGTCATATAAGGCTGGCTTTGTTAATGAAGGTTTTATAGACAGCAAAACTGGCTAAACTAGAGACATTTCGACTTCCAACTTTTTAATTTTAATTGCATTCTCAAGGGTTCCAGAGACTGGAGCAACAGATAATATTGTTGTGATGGCTCAGAGAACATTTGAGGTTTGGAAAGAATTCTAGGCATGCTCCTCAATCAGTTCTATACACCAACATCGCTGTGCAAAAAATACAGATACTGCGACTCACAGAACTGTTTTGCAAGCATTTTTTTTCAGGGCACAGTAAGTTTAAAATTACAACAGCAGCAATGTTTGGGGAAGAACAGAAATATCCAGACTTTCTCTATAATGTCAACAGTGTTGCTATTAATTATTATGTGTATATATAAAGCATGTTCAAGCTGCAAAGCATTAAATCAAGGCAGGGCAAGACTGCATTTTATACAACATCGAGATACTTTGGGGAATGTTTCTGTGGAGGAGCATTAACCCATGTTATGATTTACTATTTGTGTAGCCCACAACCAGTCTCATGTTCTATTGCTGGCTGTGCCTGGCAAGACTGTACCTTAGAAGTAACTAGTTGCAAACAACAATTGTGAAGAAGTAACCTTACTAACTGGCAGAGGAAGAATACAAGATGTTTTCACTTCTGTGTCTCATGCTGTTGCTTTGTGTCCTGTTGAGGAGGACCATGTAGTGGCTTTGGCCAAAGGCAAATTCCAGTTTGGGATGAGGTTATTTGCTTCTACCCTACTGCACCCCAGATATGTGTGAACAGCTCTGGCATGGTTTTGTTCTGGATTGCAATTTCCCAAACAGCAAAGAGAAAATTTGGCATTTGAAGGGTTGTTGTCTAAAATGTGTTGAAATGTAGGGAAAGGGGGGGGGGAATAGTGCAAGATGACAACAGTGGGGAAGGAGCTTCTCTGACTGATACCTTCAATTTCAATGAAAACAAATGACCTCTCTTATAGCCTCTAATCACAGAGAGGACCGGGTATCATTCTGACTCATTCAACACATTTTTGCTGTTTCTTTGGGTTTTAACTAGGTTAGAGTTGTTGCTGTATTGGCTTGTTAATTTTAATATTTATTTAGGACTATGTGCATGTGTGAATATGTTGGGTGCTTGCCTTCTTGTCTGGGCTTTGAACAATTAGGATTCAGTCCGTTTTAGACCTGTAGGCCTGAAGAAAAAGAAGACAAGCAAAACTTGGAGGTGATTCCTCTTTTTATGACCTACCAAAATTAAGGAAAATGTTTCCCATAGTTATAGCCATTTGCAGATTTGCATGTTCTACATAAGTATATCATTTTAAAAGGTAAAAGGCAAAACATGTCCTACATCCCACATTTTAAATACAACAACCCCTTCTCACTCAATAAAGAGAAAGCTGCTTCAGAGCCCAAAGTTTTGTGATGTTAATGCAGGAGATACAGATCTCTATCACAGTTTCTTTTTCCATAGTAGAATATGCAAGTCTGTAGCTGCAGCAGAAACCAAATAGATACATGAATGCACAAGCCCAGATGCACAACTGATGAGATCCTTGGAAATATCAGATGATATGATGTTCCTAAGGAAAAAAAATTCCCTTCATATAACATCGCCACGTGTTTCTCAGACCTGCTATTTTATGATGTTGCGAAGAAGCTCATAAAAAGGAAAGGTATAAAAGAGGCACCAGTGAGTCTAAATGTAAGAGCCCGAATGAGAATTCCTAAGGTGAGGGTTTCCATCTACTGTGCCCATAAAAATCTGTTTTTTTCATCTTGACTGTCAGTGATGTCGAAAGAAGGATGTCATTATAGGATTTTGAAGATGAAGAGGGTGAAAAATAGAATCTTACTCAAGCCTGAAAGCTCAATAGAGAATTCTCAACTTAGAGATTTCCATGGAGAATGGGAAATGTTTATTAT